AAGAAAGGGCTGAACTGAGAACTTAATGGGATACTGTCTAGTCTCACTGCTGTTTCGGGTTTCTATGAAATACATAAAAGTTTAGAGTGTAACTGAATGAGAATATTTTGATATATTCAAAAAGAGTAATTGCTTGGTGCTAGACATTGGCTTTTCCTGACGTTATGGCATAAATTCAATCACAGCTCCATTAATGATAATATTTAATATACAGTAATTATTACCTGATATACAACATCAAATAACTTTAATTATGTTGTCTTGTGTTGGGTCACTTTATAAGTCATTATGAGCCAATGTAACAGGGTACGGTAAAATACATAATGACGCTATGTGAGCTAATCCTAAATGCAAACATCTTACTCAAGTAGATGTCTGTTATTCTTTGGATAGTACATATATGGGCCAATATTGAGGGAGGTCATAAATACATCACTACTCACAATACCTAGCCCTTACTACCAAGAAGTAGAACATCAAACATCGTACAATGAAGTGTCCTGCAACTAAACACCATCAAACACTATTATGGATTTTAAAAAACTGTCAAATTGAGAACCAGCTTCAGCTATGTTTAAAAATCTCACACCTGGCCAAAAGGGATAAACCCAGAAAATGTGGAAGCTGACAGTCCATGTTTAACTGTTTAAAATATAACACTGAGTTTTTAAACAGTGATTAGAACAATACAAGCATTCGTGCTTGATGGTCTCCCTGAATCATATCCACCTAAATAAAACTTCAATCCATGAGAAATTTAGCAGGAAAGCAATTATTTTTTTAATTAAAAAAAAAAGATTCACAATCCACAAGTAAATAGCAGCTGAGCAACAGATGAGGAACTAAGTGAAATCTGTTAGCAACTGGTAACAGCTTTGATATTTTCTGTTGTTAAAAGGGGGGGAGGGGAGGGGAAAGTGTTCAGCAGCGATTCCAATATGTTCAGAAATCTCATCTGAGAAAGGCTATAGCAGCAGTTACTTTTTTCGTACTAAAGACAAAGGTTAGGGGTGGTTTTAATACATTAAACTGCATTGGTGTTGACAAGCGAAACAAGCAAGCTCACATAGACATATTACAGATATGAAAAATATGCAATCGCTATATACTGCATAGTAAGTATGCATGTAGTGCATAAAAATATCCACCACAGTCTAGTGCAGGGGTGGGCAAACTACGGCCCGCGGGCCACATCCAGCCGGCAAGACGGTCCTACCCGGCCCCTGAGCTCCCAGTGGGGGAGGCTAGTCCCTGGCCCCTCCCCTGCTGCCCCTCCTCCCCCGCAGCCGCGCTGCCGCATGGGGAGCGCTCTGGCCTGTCGCTCCTGTCAGGCTGCACAGCTTGCGCCCGCCTACCTCCCAGGCTTTCTAATAAGCCAGTCCTGCCATTCTGAGAGGCATGGTAAGGGGGCAGGGAGCAGTGGGGTGGGATAAGGGGTCCTGGGGGGGGCGGGGAGTCCCGGGGGGCGGTCAGGTGACAGGGCGCAGTTGGATGGGTTGGAGGTTCTGGGGGGGGCAGTCAGGGGACGGAGAACGAGGGGGGTTGGAGTAGGCGTGGGAGTCCTGGGGGGGAGCCCGTGGTCAGGGGTCG